AGGAGGGACAGAATGATCTGGTTGAACTGTAAAATTATCTGAAGTTGGGGGATCCGGAAGTGGACGAAGTTGAGGATGACTCCTTGAACGTCTGTGTGTGCGGAAGGGAGTTCCTTCAGGTGGATCTGGTCCATCATTAACCCCCTGTCGGTTATTATTATTTTGTTGCTGCTGTTGCCATTGTTGTTGCCATGGATGTGGAGGTTGAAAATTTGGTGGTGCTTGAAATTGTGGTAAGGGTGTTCTACTAAAATATGGTGCAGGAGGAACTTTATTTCGAGCTCCTTGCGGATATTTTATTTGTTGCATAGGTTGAAATTGGGGAGGTAACACGTTATTATTCGAACGAGCAAAGGGAGCTGCCATTCTCATACTTTTTGAACGACCTGTCGTAGCCATTGAATTCATGCTTTGAGAAGCTGATAATTCTCGTTGTAATTCAATAGACGTCGTATTTTGCCGATTGTATGATTTTCGAGGACGTGGTGGCGCTGTAATTCTTTGATCATATCTCCTCATTCCTTGCACATTATTATTATCATCATAATTATCACCTTGAAATTCACGGGACCTTAAGACATTTGGCATAGGTTCAGGTTTGATTTGGATTGTTTGTCGATCATTTCGTCCTTTATTATATTGTGATGGACGACGAGGTACGTGCGTTGAAGTCGGTTGAACATTTATTCTATCTAATGGGAGGTTTTGTCTTTGTTCTCTAAGATCGTAAGCGTTCATTGAAGCAACATTTGATTCATCTGGAATGACTTCGCTTAAATCAAGTCGCTCTAATGCCTCTTCCTTGCCCTTTTCATTTATTTTTTTTGTAATGCGTTTAATACGTTTACAACTGTACCATACAAGAATACCAAGAAAAATCTACAATAAAGAGAGAATTATTTTAATGATGCAAATAAAATGGTAGATAGATATTAATTGATAAAATGACGCATGTCGTTACCAAAAAAAATTCTTGCGCCCCGAAGATGATTAAACTCGCTATTTGATTAAAATCAACCTTACTACGACATCCATCAATTGCATCTTGAGAGGAATCGGTTGGTGTTACACATGCATTTATCGAATCAATTTTCATCGTAAAAGAAAGTGCGACTTTTATTCCATCAATTATAGTAAAAACTCCACTAGAAAACCAATGTTCCCTTAAATATCGGTCACATAAATCCGAATTATTCTAGATTATAATTTGAGTAATTTGTTTAATTTACATGAATGCAGATCATTTCCTCCAAATGTGGAAGTAAATATTAATATATATACCTGAGTAGATCCAATAATTCCCCATAATCCGGAGGGAGCTAGAATCACTAAAATTACACCGTATCCTATTCGGAGCGGTTCGCTAACATGATATACCGTAACTAAAGGAAAAGGATTTCAAATATGATCGATATCAATATACAAAGTGCGTTTCATAATTTTTTTTTTTAATAAAAAAAACCGAGTCCCACTTACAATTTAGTTTGAGAAAAGTAACTGTTGCGACAAATAATGAATACAGCTATATAGTTTAATATATATACCGAATTTTGTTAATACAAATTCGTAAGTCGAAGGTAGTCGGTTACGTGCGTGAGTGATAACTTACCAGGAAAGAGACTGAGACGAAAAACACAGTTACTCGTGCCAAAGTGTGACCCATTTGTCTTTTTTAAATCGGGCACTTTTTAACCAACTTTTTATATACGAAAATAAATTATTTTGGATAACTCCACGGAAAGAAAAAACACATTTAAAAGAGTTTCTGTTTTTCTATTTGATTTTCTATCGCCGCTTATTTTGAGAACGTACTTTCTAAGGAACGCTCAACGTTTTCTAAATATGTATATGTAAATCTTTTTTTCTTTGTGAGTTTGGCGCTGCCAAAACTTCACTTTCTATATTTTGAGAGAGGGGAATAAGGCGGAAAGGAACCAACACGTCAAACTTTAGTGAAATTAATATAATCTGAGATGGCTAAATTTGGTAATGAAGGATTAAAATTAAATGGACAAAAGTTTTATAAGAAGTATTCGGGCTGAAACGATACAGAATCAATACATCGAACAATGTTCAATTTGAATTTTTCGCGTAAATGAAAAATTTGATTATTTTTATTTATTTTGGCTCGAATTTTTTTTTTTTTTTTTTTTTTTTTTTTTATTATTATTTATTATTATTTTCGCGTATCGTTCCACACCTTTTGTTGAATCTGCACCAATGCATATATCACTTATGAATAATAAGGATTTTTAGTTCCTATACAACAATTAATGATGTAGAAAATATAAAAAACAAATTTTTTTATTACAACTTTTGATCTTGTTGGTTAAATAATCAAATTTTTTTTTTTAACGAAGACCAATTAATTTTTATATAGAATAGTGAAACGTTCCTTAAAAAAATCCAAACACAAACATGTGAGACATGAAAGTTGTTTCCGATATATAGTTAGAGCCACGTGATCTGTCTGCGCCAACGGGTTAAAGAACGTTTCAAAAACACACTTTTTCGATCTTAAATAGTTTGCGTGAGAAATAAAATTTCAACTGGAACGAAAATGGTCGTGATGGATCAACGTCATTGTAAATTCGTTCTTGTCACAATTTATAATCACCCTAACACTAACAGAAAATTGCTTATATAGGGATCAAGTGATGCCGGAGGAAGTTGGGGATGCATGATAATTCGTAAAATTGCAAAATAATTTACACAAATTTTACCTTACTCCCTTCCCCCTGTTTCTGTGTTTATTATTTACTTTTTGCTTTACTTGAGAAATAGAAAGTTATGAAAAAGAAATATTTAATAACGTTAGGTAGAGGGAGTTATTCAAGTTCATATCCAATTCGTTAAAGATAAATTAACTACGAATATATATATATATATTTTTTTTACACAGACGGTTCTGATCACTCTGAATATTCTTTATTGTGGGCTCTTGAAAACTTGGTTGATCCGCAAAACGATATTTTATTACTGCTAAGCGTAGGTGTATTACCTGCCGGTACTCCATGCGAATATTCCGCCGTAACTCGTAAGTACATTTATTATTTCATCTTCACACTCAAAAAAATCTCCTTATTTGATTTCTTTTGATTTAACAGGAAATATATTATATGGAAGTGATGTAACAAAAGAACGTCAAAAGGTTCTTATTTTTATAATAATAATAATAATAATAAAAGGATTGATTATTTTTGATCACCTTTTTTTTTTTAAAAAAAAAATTTTTTATTTTTCCTCTTTTAGGCCGAAGAATATGCGAGGGAAGTTGTAAATAATGGTAAAAAGCTCATCACAAATTTTTTTGCCACACAGGAACGAGGACAAAATGAGGTTTGCAAGAGACATGATTATTTTTAGAATGGGATTTCATCAAGTTTATTTATTTATCCATCTCACGCACAAAATGTGATCACGACATAAATGATATACTTCAAAAATTTACTTTGCATATTTGTTGTTTATTTATTTTAATTAGATACCATCTTTAAATGTGGAATGCTTCGTAAATTCTAGTTCTGATCCTGCAAGATATATTGTTGATTTTTCAAAAAAACAAAAAGTTGATGTAATAGTGATGGGACATCGAGGAACTTCTTTGCGAAATGTTAATAAAATAGGAATGGTATCTCAACATTGCCTTCATTCTGCTGGATGTACAGTTGTAATTACGAAGAAAAAATAGGAAAACGATGCATCAAATGTATCATAAACAAAAACATTAATTTATTTAAGATTAAATTGTAAATAAAATTTACCTTCTAATTTCCGATGCATAACTTTTTTTTTGAGGAAAAAAAAAAAATATTATTATTGGTTCCAACGTTTGGAAAGGATTATTTAATATAATATTTTCGATCGTGATTTTTTTTGGAGGATTTTTTATATCACGCGAGCGTGATCTTTGTAATTTCAGCCAAAATAACAATGTATCGAAAATTATTAAAAAAGAAAAAACAACTAGTCTCGATCGAAAGAACAATATTTATTGTCATGATGAAATAGAATCTTAAATCGTAAATCGTGCATTGAGCATATAGGATATGCGCACATCGTTAAGTTTTTTACCGGCGAAAAGAAACAATTTCCACCTTTTCAAGTGTGATTTATCGTAATTTTATATACCAAGATATGAAATTAAATTCTAAAGAAAACTATAATAAGGTCTAAATAAATGTATTAAAAGAACACTCACTATGTACAAATTTTTTTTTTTTTGCGTCCTAGTAATGAATTACTGATCCAAAAAAGAATAGTAGGATGCGGTTTTTCAACCTACTTTCGTAGTAGATAAAGATGCGGCAGAAAGGTGCGTATTAGGGATATTACGTTTCCTACTACCTTTGTATGTTACGGGTGTAATCTGATCAGCAAAACGAGAAACAACGCCGACGAAATAAGCCTTTAATAATTTTTTGAAAGGAGGGGGAAAAAAGATAAAGGAATAATCAATTCTCATATTAAATTTTCAAAAAGCAGATTCAAAATAAATATTTGCTTACCCCAAATAATAATAATAGTAAAGCGGTTATAACTTTAACCCAAATGCGAATTTGTTCCCGATGTTCACACAATTTAGGTATTTCTCCATTAATTGCACCATTGGCAGCACCTGTAGCAGCATTCGTTAAATCACTTATAATGACTTTATCTGCATTAGCTTGATCGATGTCTTCTAATGCTTGACTTGTCTTTCCATGGAGCTCTACTATACATCTATCAACCGCTATCTGTTTATTATTAAATAAATTGTAAATGGTAACCGCTGAAATAACAACGTATACAACTACGATTCCCCATAACATATATTCGAAAATGAGAATTCCTCCGGAAGAATTCTATTTATTTATTTTTTTAAAAAAAAAAAAAAAAATTATATATTTTGTTTAATTTTCAATCATTACATTTAAAATTTTCTCTTTCTACTTACGAAAAGTGATCCGATGATTCCAAATATGGAAATTAATGCCATAATAATGAATAAGACACCAAAAAATGTGGCAAGACCGTGGGACATTCCAGCCGAGACATCTAATTACATCATAAAAAAAATATTGATCGTAATTTAATCATCGTACTCGATATCGTTTTAAAGCAAATACCTTCGGGTCTTCCTAGATAAGCGACAGCTCCAAATATTGAAATGATCTAAGTGATAAGAATATATTATTTATGCCTTTAACAAATGGTATCTGCACATCCTTGAGATTGAAAAAAATAAACACCCCCCGAAATTTACCAAACTGATTGTAGCGAGGATAATGGTACCTATTCGAACCGGGATACTTTGTAAAACACAATTTGATTATACATAGCACGTGACAAATCCCTAATGCAACCTTAACAGATCATTACTTATATAAATACTTACCAACAACAACAGCAATCAATCATTTTTCTTTTTCTTTTTTTTCGCGAAAAAAAAAGGATATGTTACATTTATTGAAAGGAAGCAGGGAAAGGAAATCTTTATGAAAAAAAAAAATTCCTTTTTTTTTTTGACAGCATTGGGGCTTATCGAATCATTAAATTATCTATCCGAAAGCGAAACCGGTATTTTTTAATATGAATATGGCTTAGATAAATTCACGATATGGTGGCTTTGCAAAAAGGATTAAAAGAAAATATTTATCTGAAAATTTGATCCAAAATTTTAACGCCGTTCCGTTTTCGCAGTTTTGATCTGACACGTGATATAATATTTTCACGTCGATAAAATTAACAAGACGTTTTTAATATATTCAACCTTATAAAAAATTGTAAACAAATTCATTATTTTACTAAATATTACTGATCCAAGAGAGGTTTCACATGGAAATTTGCTATGAAATACCCTTCTGAAAATAGATATCATGTTGTACTAAAAGCCTCTCGTATTTGTAATCGGTTGAAGAAAAAAAGATTGATAATAGATAATAATGGTGGCGAGATGGCGAACAATCTGTAAGCCACGAAACTTGATTGATACGGCAAATCAGGTGGGCAAAAGGTTTGAGGTTACCCGTGTTACATCCGACGAAAAGTCTAACAAACAGTCTTGACTATTATAGTTAAAAAAAAAATTTTAGGCAAAACTCAATTAATTGTTTCAAAACTTTTTCTTCTAAAATGTTTTGATGATCAACAAGGGTAAAAATTACTCATTTTACTCATGAAATCCTTATACCGTACATTCCCTCAGCCATGATGCCGAAAAGCCGTCAAAGCTATCAAAAAAAGCCAATTGAAGTGGCGTAGCATTAAATTATAATTATAATGATAAAGAATTCCTCTCGCGTTTGAGAAAAAGAAGATTACTAACTAATAATGACTGAAATAAATATATTGTATACAAATTTAAAATTGATTTTGTATGGTAATCCAATTTAATACAGTATTTAGCATTAACTGGAAATTTTGACCAGAGAAGGCGACAGGCAATATTACTTCAAAGTGCTGCAACACTCGAGACAAAGATGTTTTGGTTTTTCATTTGTCTTTTTGATATACAGATTAAGCAAAATCCATAGTTCAAATCAATCAACAAAAACATATTTTTCCTTTATGATCTACAAATCCATAGCTCAAATCAATCCACTAATTTATTAATTATTCCAAAAACGTATTGTATCGGAATTAATATCGGAATTATTAATAGGAATTAATAGGAATTATAGGAATTTCAATTCCTTTCACAAGAATAATTTTAAGATTTTAACCAATCAGATGCATTTTTTGTAACAAAGGGACAACAAAAGACAACGTTTGGAATCTGCATTCCGAATTTAGAGTTGCCTTTATCCCGTAAATTATTTGTTGTACAAAGTCGATTATTGGTCGCTTTGGTTTTTTTTTTTTAGTTGTCCATTTGAGAAAGTCAAATCAATTTCCTTGTTTGAAAACAAATATCAAAACATACATACATTATAAGATGATTGTAACCAAATTTTTTTTTCATAAATTAAACCTTTTTTTTTTTCTTTTCTTTTTTTTTTAAAAAAAACTTTGAACAAACAGACGATTAAGAAAATATGGCTGAAGAACATTCGGAATATCCTCGCATATCATTACCTGTACCTCAAATGAGATCACACTACGATGTGGTGGTTATCGGGTCAGGTTATGGCGGTGCCATTGCAGCTTCACGAATGTCAAGAGCTGGCAAACGCGTTGCCTTGCTAGAAAAAGGTTGGCTTTTACATTAATTAAAATATTGAATAATTAAAAAAAAAAAAAAAAATAACCTTACATTCCTTCCTTCAATTTTAATTAATAACTAAACCAGGAAAAGAAAGGTGGCCTGGAGAATTTCCAACTAAATTAAGAGATTGCTTGAAAGAAGTTCAATATAGTTCACCAAAGATACATACCGGTAATAAAACTGGATTATATCAATTTTATAATGGGAGTAATCAAGATGCTGTGGTAGCTTGTGGGTAAGTACTCGTCTAGATCGATCATCAAATTATTTATCCCGCAGTAACTCCGATCTAAAATCTTAATCTTTCAAATTTAGCCTCGGGGGTACTTCCCTTATTAACGCAAATGTAGCTCTTGAAGCCGACGATCGTGTTTGGCAGATGTCCGTTTGGCCAAATGAAATCAGGAATGACCAAGAAAGTTTAAAAAGAGGTATATAAATAAAATTGTGTGTCGTTGATGTATTTTGTACAAACCTTATATTTACGTTATTTATTTTAGGTTATGAAAGAGCTAGAGAAATGCTCCAACCGGTTAGTTACCCTTCAAACTTTCCTGAATTACCCAAATTAAAAACCTTAGAAGAACAAGCGAGATTATTGGGAGATAAATATCATAAAAATTTCTCGAGACCGCCTATCACTGTTACATTTGAAAATCGCGTCAATGCTGCGGGAGTACGTCAACAAGCGTCAACATTAACCGGAAATGACTGTACAGGAATTAATGATGGTAGTAAAAATAGTACCCTAATGAATTACATACCCGACGCATGGAATCATGGATGTGAAATATTTTGTGAATGTAGTGTACAGAGAATTAAAAAATGTGATAAAACCAATAGGTATATTATATTTTACGAGTGGTTAGATGTAAGTTAATGATCTGTTAAACGTTAAATCCAAAACTCCATTTTGTTATTTTTGTTAATTCATCTTTACTTTAAAGGACAATCGCACAAAATTTAAGGAAGAAAGTCGTTTCTGTCCTTACTTTGTTATCGCTGATGTGGTGTTCCTCGGTGCTGGCACGCTTGGTTCGAATGAGATCCTATTACGATCAAGATCGTATGGTCTAAAAGTTGGCGATCGTTTAGGGAAAGGATTTAGTGGAAATGGTGACGTGAGTTGTTATAGATTATTAAAATTCTCCACCACAGAATCTTCACTATATTTATATATATTATATTCGATTATTAGATACTTGGATTTGGTTATAACATGGATAATTTTGTTAATGGTGTTGGTTCGGGAGATCGTGTTGCGTCCGGTCTGGATGCTCCGGTTGGCCCGTGCATTACCGGTATCATTGATATGCGCCGTGATGCTGAAAATGTACTCAAGGGATATGTGATTGAAGAGGGTGCTATTCCTCTCGCTGTTGGCAAGGCTTTCCAAATTTTCCTCAAATCAGGAAGTACCCTGGTCGGTTCCAAGCCGAAAAATCTTACATACTCGCAATCTTTTAACAGAAGATGGAGACAAATTAGGTCAGCAATTGGAGGGTTTTATACTGGCGCCATATCACATACTCAAACGTACTTGATTATGTCACACGATGATAACACGGGTCAATTAGAATTAGTCAATGATCGATTGAACATGGAGTATAAAGGTGTAGGTACTTCGGATACTGTGATGGAATTGAATAAGGTTTTAGAAGACGCTACAACTCTAGTGAATGGAACTTATATACCATCTCCGTTGTGGTCGAAATTTCTTGGAAGGGGAATGGTTACGGTTCATCCAATTGGAGGTTGTGGTATGGGCAAAGATGGAAATTCTGGAGTTGTAAATCACAAAGGCCAGGTATTTATCGGGGAAGGCAATGATGTTCATGAAGGACTTTACGTATGTGATGGTGCAGTCATACCAACTGCTCTTGGAGTCAATCCATTTTTTACGATTAGTGCATTTTCCGAACGAATTTGTGAATATGCAGCAAAAGATCGTGGATGGACAATTGATTATGATCTTGTTAATAAACCAATTGATTTTAACCATCCGTTGAAATCTTATGAACAAAATGAACGTGATTTAATAAAAAGACAGAGAAAATGCCACGAGTTGGACGGTGGGATATGTTTCACAGAAGTCATGAAAGGTTATTTTTCGACCGAAATTTTATCAACAGATTATGCCACTGCTGAATGTAAGAATATTTTTTTTTTTTGTTTTATTTTTTTTTTTAAAAAAAAAAAATCGTATATATATATACATATATATTTTTTTAGTTGGTTAAAATTTCATATTTAATTAATTTCAAAATTTTAATATATATATATATTTTTTTTCTTTTTTTAGTACAAGCAAGATCTGCAAATTCGACAATGCAATTTTTATTGACGGTCATTGCTTATAGCGCAGAGACAATAGTTGACATGGATGATCATTCAGCATTGATTACTGGCACAGTATCGTGTCGAGCTTTATCCCCAGATCCATTGCTTGTAACACGTGGAAAATTCCGTTTGTTCATCCCAGATACTGATAAAGTCGATTCTAATAGAATGATGTATAATTTGAATTTATGCGCTACTGATGGAACAAAATATCGGTTCAAAGGACACAAGTTAGTCGAGAATGGCAAATTGAGAGACGCGTGGGAACAATCTACAAATTTATATGTTACAGTATATTTACGCGAAGAGAATGAAGATGAAGATTTGGATGAAGTTAATGTTAGTCACGAAGAGGAGGAAGATGATGCTAGAAAAGTGGTTGGCAGAGGGATATTACAAATGAGCCCTTTTGCATTCTTGAAGCAAATGACTACGTTTAAGGTAAGAGACATAATTTATAGTTATTATTGATTTATGAATTAAAGTTAAATGTAAATTTATCTATTAGGCGACCGGACCAACATTTGTTTCAAGGATCAGGGCCATGTTTACATTCAATGATTTCTTTGCAACGACCGTGTTAAGACACGTATTTTCCAGATTTCTTCCTTTAGAATATCCAAGCAGAACCTTTCCAATCGCAAAACCATTTTATCATCAAAGTAGACCGAAAAAAGACGTATGGGAAATCAATGCCGAAGATGGTGTTAAAAGTACAATGGTCAGATACCAAGGTGGAAGAAAAGGTCCACTCCTTTTAATACATGGAGCCGCTATGACACATGAAATGTGGTCAACAAATTTAATAAAGAATAGCTTCTTGGATTATCTTTTGGGACATGGATATGATGTATTTTTAGTTGATCATCGTTTATCGCCAAAAAATTCAGCATCTAAAGAACAACATACTTTAGATGGTATTAGATTAGATCTCGCCGCTGCCGTCAGTAAAGTTCGGGAAGCTACTGGTGTTGAGAAAATTGGTGTAATCGCTCATTGCGTGGGATCGATATCGACATTTATGGGATTACTAGATGGAAAGATCGAAGGGGTAGGATGCCTTATTGGTTCTCAAGTTGCAATGCACCCAATACTTAGTTTTTGGAATAGTGTCAAGTTGCATTTACAAATACTTCCATTATGGAGACATATATTACGTCAAACAACATTTGATGTAAGAACGTCTCCAGATACCAATTTACTCAACAAAGTTGTTAATCAGTTATTACGTTTTTACCCAGTACCAAGGAATCAAACTTGTCGTAGCGCGTTGTGTCATAGAGCGTCTTTATGTTATGGTACATTATATCAACATGAAAATCTTAACCAACAAGTTCACGATCATCAACATGAATTTTTCGGAAACGTGAACCTTACTACGATGCAACATCTAAATAATATGGGACAAAAGAAAATGATCTTAGATTATCAGGGTCAAAATGTCTATATCACAAAAGAAAATATTAGTAATAGATTGAATTTCCCAATTTGTTTAATTCACGGAGAATTGAACTCGGTGTAAGTATAAAATGTTTTAATTCACACACACGCGCACTTATATATATATTAATTGGTTTTACTTTCTCACAGGTTTGATTTGACGGCGACGAAAAAGAGTTATGATATGTTACGAACGACAAACGGTATCGATAATTATACATATTATGAAATTGATAAATATGGTCATTTAGATTGCTGGTGGGGAACTAACGCAATCACGGATGTATTCCCTAAAGCATTAAGACATTTAGAAGAAACGCAACATTTATGGGGATATCATGCTGGTCAACCAAAAAAAGGTTTTCACCCTTCTAATGATACTTCTAGTGATGATTAAATTAAAATTCCGAATAACTAACTATATAGCTTAAATCGTTTACATTATTATTAATTTCTTGTTTATTACATTAGTTTTTTTTTTAAAGATTTTGATTTGTATAAAATTTATAAAATTTAATAAAGTTCTTACATAGTATAGTAACCTTTCAATAATTCTTCCCACCAAGTTTTTCACCCACGTGACCTCAAATAATTTGCCATCTGGGAGTGAAAAATCCTATTTGTCACCTTATTTGTCACGTGGATTAATTTCGGCCAAGTTATATAATGCCGACCAAAAAATCACGTAAGGTGTAGTAAATTTACAATAACGTTAGAAGTTGATCAAACGTAATACGCGTAATACGCGTAATTTATTGTTAAATAACGTGGTTTATGAAATCTCAAACGTTCTTGTTCTTTGCAAAGACTACTTCATGCCAAAATGCAACGGTGCCTTGTTAAGTTTGAGTACTGTTGTACCCTAACCCTCGGTCCTTTCTGGACCACAAGCGAGGTCATACATTGGTGTGTCCTTACTTTTAGAATGCGATTTCGACGCCAAGTTTGCTCATTGCAAAATAATTAAACTGGTTGTATGCTCATAAGGAATTTAACAAGGGTCAAACACTACAGCATCCAAGTTGGTCAAATTGATGACCCCGCGGTTGTCTACAGGAGTACGCTTCGCCAGGCTTCTAAGGGTGATTCATAAGTGGAGTTTTTTCTTTTGCACGCTAATAAGAGTCTGTACGAAATATCAGGTCAAATGAATAAGGTGCCTTGTCCTAAGTTGAGAACTGTACCCACCCTAACCCTTGACATGGGTGAGGACATATTGTATGTCCTTACTCTTAGAATGAGATTTTGACGCCAAGTTTGCTCATTGCAAATAATTAAACTGGTTGTATTCTCATGAAACTTGTTCATGGTTAACCTATATTCGATCTTTTGGCAATTATGATGAAACCTCGGTTGCCTACAGGAGTGCGCTTCGCCAGGCTTCTCAGATGAATTCATAAGTTGATGTTTCATGTATTTTTGAGCATTTTGTTCGAAATACCCAGACTACATTTACAAAATGAAAATATTAAAATATTAAAATATGAATGAAAGCATTGATAGTACTGTAAGTATACATACACACGGTAAAGAAGATTTTTTTTTAATATATATATATATTTTCGAATGATGATAATTTAATTCTAATTCTTTTTTTTTTTTTTCTCTCTCTGCCTTTTTTTTTCCACGAGATTTACGATCAATGGTTGAATAATCATTGAGAAATTATGTATTATGGTTTCAGTTTACTACTTTTATGATCCATATGATCAAGTTCTAATTGTAATACCGTGTATTGAAATAATAATTAATTTTTAAATTTTTATTAAAAGATCTTTCAATGCAATTATTGATATAAAAATACTAAAAATTTTGTATAAAATCTTTTGATAAATTAACATAGTATATTGTGGATTATTAAAGTAATTTCGAATTAATTAAAATTTTGTATTCATGATTTACACGAACTTGTACATGTAATAGTTTGCTTTCTTCTACGAATATATATATATATATTATAAATATTTTTTATTGAGCTCTTCAAGATTTCCTGGAATTCGATCCGTTCTGATCTTTTACTCCAAAAACTTTTGCTTCTATTTCATCAGCTTCTCCTTTTCATAAAGTTCATTAAATGCTCGATTCGCTTGGAATCTGGTTTACATAGAAAATCTACCATTAGGACACCAATCGTGTTCTGAAGCAGGAGTCATTCTTAGTTCTTTTTAAATTCAGGTTGGCCAAGACATAAAATTAAGATCAAAGCTCGGATAAATCACGCTTCGATTTATGATTTTAACTCCGATGATGCAAGATTTTCGACATTTGCTTTATACCATTTCCATATCTCTTTTTCGGTCAAAGTTTTTCATACTTTGAGGCATTTCTAGGGAACTTATAAGTGACAACTATACTTTTAACATTTGTTTTAAACTACAAGTGAAACTCTTAATGACCGAATTTGAAATTATACTTTTGGTTTATCTTTCATTCTTGAATTTTTATGAAAAAATTTCACGTAAAGGCCAATTTTTTCCTTTTGCTCTAGAGGTTCGCCTTGCTTTATTGTTTAAGTTTCTTTCCAATGTCAATAAAAAAAATCAAATCAAGTTTTAATTTACCTGAAAATTTTTTTTTTTTTGTTGAAAAAGTGTGGCACCTTTTTTTCTTTTAAAAAAAAAAATGTTTTACAAAAGCGAACATACAATCAAAAAAAGTATGTGATGAATGATTAAACTCTTATTACGTAATTATGTATGTCAAGTTCGCCGATTATCCTTACAAAAAAATCGATAATATATTTTACTTTGGATTTTTTTAATGAGAGAAACCATTGATGAAGCTTTTATATATCCATTAAACGATTCTTTTCATCAACTTCTTGTCTTCTGAACTTTAATAAGTGTCATTATACTCTAAATATTTATGGACTAAATCGGCATAATTGATGTACACACACATATATGATTTACTTACTATTTTAAGTTTAAACCGATTTTTTTTTTAATAAGAAACTTTAATGCGCCGCAGTATTCCCTCCCTTAAATTTTTTGTTTAAAAGTTCAAAATTGTATAATATGGCCTTACATAACTTACGCAAACTTTGACCCCCGCCCCCCCCACCTTCCCGATAGAATTTTCGTCATCCTCATAACTTCTATCGTTGACTTGATATTTATTATATTTATTGCTGATTATAAATTTGATTCACTTGATTCACTTGATTCTCAAAGTCGATCAAAAAAATCATCAATATACGATTTGATTGGATAAATCGAAAGATTTTCGCATAAAAAGAGGAACCGATGTATAACCCTTCCCTTTTTTTTTTAAAGAAAACATTGATGAAATTCTTATTTAAGAACCTTGAGTATACAATAAAATCTCATTAAAAATCACAATTTCTTTACTTTTGAAATAAAACGCAAAATCATAGTGATGATGAATTTCTACACAATTAATCAATACCTTCCCTGTTACAGTGAACAACTTGTCCATTACGCCCAACGACAAGATATGAATCAAATGTATTCTGATTATCCTCCTGGTTGGCCTCAGGCCCAGATGATCTATGATCCATCGTATCAAGGTTTACTCGGTGCTGACGCATCAATGTTCATCCTCAAAGGTGTTAGTAGCCGTCTACAACAACAACAAATTTCATACCAAAATACATTGAGGTCCGACGCACAAGAATTCGTTCCCCAAGCTGTTAGTGCCTATCCGAAACAACAATATCCTCCTCATCAAAGTGCATTCAGAATTGACGCACCAGAGTTCATCCTCAAAACTGCTAATAGCCGTCTATCTTTTGTACAGACACACAGAGAGCTTAGGGTTGAGACTTCAGAATTTGTTCTTAAATCCTCTCGCAATGAGGTTGCCGTTAGAAAAATAGCCGTCCCTCGTAGATCACGGGTACCAAGAAAACTCGATGGTCCTAATGATTTGAAACAATCCCAACGATCAGAGGTGCGGAAAGACGTCGTTAATGCAAACGACGACGACGGTGACGATGAAGAACGTGAGGAAATTAGGGAAGGTATTTATTCGAATCAAAAAATTTTTTAACCCGTCTTTTTCTTTATCGTATAATATAAAGTTAATTTATGTTTGATTAGAACTTCGCAAAATACCAAGAAAACTTTCCGTTATAAGGAAGGAATTTCTAAAAAATCACCGAAACAAAGCCAAATTGAAACAGCGGAAGAAGAAACGAATTGAGGCAAAACGTTCTGTACCAGTCGCAACGAAAGCTCCGTGTGAAGTATTTTTGGAAATCTGTTTTTACTTACCACCATCAGATCTGTACTCAATAACTCGAGTCTGCAAGGTGTGGAGAAACTGGTTAGTTGCTCAAAATAATACGCGGACTCAACAAATCTGGAGGGAATCGAGAAAGTACTTCGTAAACCGTATAAAGGATCCTCCGATTGGCGTAGACGAGTTCAAATGGTACATCCGAAGGTGGAGGGAAATTCCGGAATGGATACAAGATTGTTATTTTTGCTTTAATAAGCATGCTAAAAAATCGTGCAGATTTAAAGGGACTTTGGTCAAAGCCTGTAAACACTGTCACGACTTTTATAGTCGTCGAGCAAGGAAGAAAGTAAGTCGATTATTTATATTATAGAATTTATGTTTTTTACAATTGTAATTCTAATTATTTTAATTATTTTACTAATTTTATTTAATTGTGCATTATAGTATCCTCATATTTATAATACTTTAAAGCCAGTAAAACCCATCGCAAAGCCTCGTCGTCGTAGAAGAAGAGGCTGGTGGTAAAAGATAATTGTGGGACTTTACATTATAAGAACTCCACTAAATTTTTTTATTTTAAAACAATCAGTAGTAAATAATTCATAATTTTTTTTCCTCGCAACAAAATTTCCCTTTCAGTATTATGAAGGACGCTTATAACGAATCTACCTAAAAAAGAAAAAGAAAAAGAAAAAGAAAAAAAAAAAAAAAATGAAGAAAATGAAGATTGTATCGGATGATTTTCTATTTGGAAGTCGTCAAGGCATAATATATTGTATATATATATACAAAGTCCTGAAGAAAATCAATCTATTGCTAACCATAAACAATATAAATGTAAAACCTATAAGACTAAATTAAGATAATAGATCCATTACGTGATTGCCACATTTCATATTTCAATCAAAATTCGAACAAATCAAAAATCAACAACACAGCCAGAGCAAAAAAATCCATCTATAAGTTTAATTTCTCCCAGCTCAACACGTTCGTTCCTTAAAAACTCTTCCTTTTACAATCCCAAATATTATATTGAAAACATGGAAACTGGTCTACTGATCGCATACACTGCCTTGGGTATCATGGCGGTGGTACCGATTTATTATGGATCGTTCTCTTCGGTAAAGTGGCCAAAGGTACGAATCGACGTTAATACTTCTAATAAAATTTATTTTTTTTTTTATTTTCTCGATTTTCCAAAGAAATTTATAACGGGTGGACGCACTTCTAACTTTTCACCGTTCTTTTATCATCTCAACTTTTTAATATAACAGAAAGCTAACTTTAAACGAAGTCATGACACAGAATCTTCCTCAGAGGACGAATCATCTTCCGAATCTTTATCAACAGAAGACGCCTACATGTTTCCAGTGTTTGGCTCTATTGTATTATTTTCACTCTACCTAGTATTCAAATTATTAGATAAAGAATATGTGAATTATCTGGTCACCGGATATTTTTCATTTTTAGGGGTGATTGCTTTGACAAACGTTGGAGTACATGTTGTCAAAAACGTTAGTGGGATCAGACTAGATTCTTATAAGTTTGTCTTGACGAAGAAAGCTAAAGGTTAATAATGAATCAAATAATCAAATTTTCTTTAATTCACATCATTTGCGTACTCAAAATAAAAAAAAATGTTCTTTTTCTTTTTCTATTTAGAGATTTACAGCGGCAGTTTTACTTTCATACATCTCGTTACGCTTTTCTTTTCACTCCTTCTCACTGCTTATTACGTAGCGACTAAAAATTGGATCGCATCCAACATATTTGGACTTGCTTTTGCATTTAATGCAATTCAAATGTTATCGATTGATTCATTTAAAACTGGCATGATTCTTTTAAGCGGATTATTTTTCTATGATATTTTTTGGGTATTTGGTACAGAGGTCATGGTCACGGTTGCCAAAAGTTTTGATGCACCTATCAAAGTCGTCTGGCCTAAACAATGGTTTGGATTACAACCCGATGAGGCTTTACAATTTACAATGTTGGGTCTGGGAGATATTGTCGTTCCTGGTAAGCTTTTTCATTTGACAAGTTATCGTTTGATCGCGTTTGGAGGTAAATAATTTTATTAACCATTTGTGAAATTTCCTTAGGAATTTATGTTGCCCTTTGCCTTCGCTTTGACCACAACCTTTACCTAAAAAAGCATCCAAATGCCAAAAAAAATTCTATCTACCCAACAACCTATTTTAATAATTGTTTCGCAGCATATATTTTAGGTCTTATTACAACCATAGTAGTTATGCATACATTCAAAGCTGCTCAACCCGCATTACTTTACCTTTCACCTGCTTGTATTTTGTCCGTATTAGTTACTGGTATTGCGAAAAATCAATTGAAAGAAGTCTTTAATTATACAGCCGACGATAGTGAAGAAGATAAGAAGAAGAAAGAGGATGACAAGAAAAAAATATCAAGTGATAATGAAGGAGATGAAGTTAAGCGAAGAAAGGATAAAAGCACCAGCAGTGAAGTAACTGGTAATGCAGAGGGTACAGCTGGTACGGAAGATGAAGATTATGTTGAGGTTTCAACAACTTCATTGGCTAGTGGTAAAAGTAAGAAGAAGAGAAAATCAAAGAGAACTGGTTAAATTCTTTTCTCTTTCTCTCTCTTTAAATAAATAACTAATAATTATAATAATATGGATTATATAATAACAATTTGCTTTTCAAAGTAGAAAATTTAATTATAATATTTATTCTTTTTTTTTTTTTACCTAGAGAGGTAAATCTCCACAAAGCTATACTATTTAAATATCTTTGTGAAAAAATTATAAAATTATTCTGCTTATTTTATTTGCTTAGAATACTATATAAAGATTTTTTTTTTTTTTTTATATTACCAAATCTATTATATCGTTACAACTAAAGATTTTTTAAATTTAATCAGACACTAGAATTAATATGAAATAAATGAAAGAAATGAAAGAAATAAATGAAATTGTATAAGATGATCATTCTTTTTTATCTCGTTTTACACCTTCAGAATCTTCTAAAGCTGCTGTAACTATAAAAGAAAATACGACTAGATTTGCAATTCCAGCAGCCGCAAGTGCAGCGAATGTTGCTTTATTCTCCCCTATTATAATTTTTTTTTAAATTTAATTTTAAAAGGTATTGATTGGTCAAGGAACGTTAGTTAAACATTAAGATTATAAAAAAAAAAATACCTTCAAAATAATAATTTAAAGAATAATAGTAAGTGCTAAGTGGAAGAAATATCATCATAAGGGTATGTATAGCAAGTTTAAGAATCACACCTCTATAAAAAGACCAACATTAATTAAAATACAATCAAAAAAATTCATAACCAAAAATTGGATAGAGTTTAATTAAGTACCTTGGTGTTTCTATTCCTTTACTCGGAGTAATAGTTGTTTTTGAAGACATAATTTTTAATAATTGAAATGAGTTGGCCGCTCCCAAGAATTAGTTTTATAGACTAACGCGTTACACGGATTTGGAGTATTACTAGATGTGATCGACCAATAGCCTTTCGAGATTAAAAATAAACTTTCAATCTAAAATTTTTGGTAGAGCAGAAAGCATTTCGACATATGATTCCTTTACTTAAATTTTCTCCAACTATAAAAAGAAATAAATCATAAGACTAATCATCTTATCTAAATATTTATCAAGCTATTTAATTAATTTAAAAAGATTATGTATTTTTTTTTTTTTTTACCAGATGTCCGTTAAATATAAATAAAATACGACAAATTCCTTGAATCTTAACTTTTATTGACTTATGATATTTATTTAAAATGTCAAATTCAATCAAGTAAACCGTTATCATTATCATTGAATTATGACAATTAGGTATCCCGGTATACTACTTCTACAGTAAAATATAAATTTTAGTCATTTTGAAATTATTTTTAAAATTACTTACTTGCGAGCGTTCAATTTTACCTTCTCACATATATATAATTCGAAAGGTATACGGGAAGTTTGCTAGGAAAATCAGGTTCCGGGAATTTTTTAACAAAATTTTGATTTTTATTGCATTTTTGGTTTTTGATGTTATTAGATTAAAATGTTATAAGGTCTTCTGGATTTCCTAGCAAACTTCCCATATGAGTAAATTGGTAAAAGCACTGAAAGTTTACAAAGATATGCCTCTTTTTTTTTCTGTTCAAAATATAATGGGAAAAAATGAAAAAAAAAAAAAAAAAAGGAATACAATATCATTCGGATTGAAAATTTAAGATTGGGAAAATTTTTTTATTAGTAACGCGTCTTTATTTTGAACAAAACATTTCAATTATAAATCTTTTATGGATCAAAAAAAAAAAAAACTTTTTCGTAGTTGAAAGACTTTTTTTGATTCATATTAGCCTCAAATCAGTCAATTTTTTTCAAAAAAAATATTATATATATATATATATATATTTCCTCTCCAGAGAAACATCATGCATTCATTGATATCTAAAAAACAAATGACAAAAGTTTTTCAAATATATATTTTATTTATACCTTCTGAATATATAATTGAAGGATCAATCACTTTTTTAATACAACTACATATATAATTAATAAGATAAAGCTATTTATAAAGTACTTTTTAAGAAATAGATAATTTAAACAAAATTTTATATATTATTTTGTTAAAGTATTATTACTTTTAAATAAAGCTTTATAATCTTTTATTTAAGATGTATTTAGTTTAGTATAATTATAAATAGATAAATAAAAGGATTTAAAGAATTATACTATAAAATTTATAAAAAAAAAAATTCTTTTAATATGAAAAATTATATTATTTTAATCAAAATTCTTTCTGATTATATATTAAAAAAAAATTATTATTATGTATAAATTGTTATAATACAATTATTATTTAAAATATTTTTTAAACTTCTGTAATATTATTTAATTAATTAGGATTTTTGTAAATTGATTTGAGATTTAAAATATTTAAAGTGATCATTTTTTATATTTGATAATAGTTAATTAATAATATTATTTCAAAATTCCTATCCATTTATTTTGATTTGCACATCATAGATAAAAGACTTTAATATGATACATTTCATCTATACTCAAAAATAATCTGAAAATTTTAAGTTTTTTTGTAATTAGTCTAGAGTGAAGCAAAAAGACTTTCTTATACTAGCCACATATTATATGAGATGTCCTATGTCATCCGCTTAAAATTTGAGTCAATATATAATTGATTCCTTTCATTACATTTGTGCTCTAAACTTAACAATGATTTCTGAAACTATTCTCTAGTTAATCACATAACTTTAACCAATTAAATTTAAGGCACATGATAATAATTTTATATATTTTACATATTAAAATAAAATTAAACACAAATCTTATAAAGTAATTTTATTTAATTCTTTAATTATATAATCAGAAATTTGTCTATGACTTTTATATTTTTTTACTGCATATTCAGCCAATTTATCAGATATTTCTTTTCTATATATATTTATATAATGCTAAGCATATTAAGTAAATTTTTAAATTATAATAAGATTTATTGATTCTAAACTTAAAGAAATTATTTGTTGTAATTTTAACTAAAAATAATCATAATTTTTTTAAGTATAATGCTTTGCTTCTTTTTAATATTGTTCATTAAAATTTAATTCATAATAAAACTTAAGATAAAAAATGTATTTATGATCAACTTTTTCTATCATTTCTTAAAGTGCATCTTTTGTATAAAAAAGTTAGATTGTAATGATATAATATACCTGCATAATATTTAGTTTATGTTGAATCATTTCAGATAGTTTTATTTTATATAAACTATAATTTATCATATATTTTTTATTTTAAAAACCTTTTTGTAAAGAATTTATTCTATATTCTTAGAATTTTTTTAAAGTTTTGATATATAATAATTATCAAAAAATTTATTTCCTAATATTGATTATTTATCATATTATGCTTATCATTTTATTTTTTTTTCTCTAAGTTT